GTGCTGCCTGTCCTGGACTGTTCCGAGCTTAATCATCATTAAACCCATCTCATTCACCATCTTACCTGGGTCTCGGGGTCCTCTCCTCACCACAACCACCACACCTTATGACAGAATCATATTAATAGAAGTTAATTGGCTTGCTTATTGGCTTGAACATATCCGTTGTTACTTGAAAAATCTGTCACTCAGATATAAATGAAAAAAATAAAATGAGTTTAATCAAGAGCTGATGGTGTAACCACGTTGTAAGCCAGCCATACCACATGTTTAGTAAAGTTAAAGAACTTTGGTGTTTATGCCTCTGGTCATTTACACAATCTTTTCTCATGTCACAGGAAGATATATTCAAAGTTAAGTCATCAGTGTTCTACAATCAGCCTCAAGACCTTCAGTCGGACCTTTTCAACTCTGAAGACCCATTTAAAACAGACCCATTCAAAGGTTGTTGCACCCTTCACTTTTTCCTTCTCCCTCTTTGTATTATCTTGTCTTACACAGAAGGCAGCTTCCCTGCACTAATTTCTTTTACTGTCTCATTTCTTGAATTTTCTTATTTCCATACAGAATTTTGTCCTTTTTTTGTTGCTAACAGATTTTATTCTTCCCTTCTCGCCTTATTGTTTTCTTTTACTGTGCACGTTTTTTCTATTTTAGGTGACCCATTTGAAAGTGACCCATTTGGAAAGGCACCATCTACATCGATAGGTACTTTTGGACAACTTTTATTTTAGAAACTAAAATAATAATGACTGCACTGAAGTCAGATAACTTCAGTGCAGTCATTATTGTCCGTCTGAAAAAAACTTTGGCATGGATTCTTTGGCATGGATTATGCTTGATTAGATCTGAACCAAAATTTCTTGCCTTTAAATGATGTTGATCTGCCCCAACTCTGAAATTCTAGTAATCACCAGGAAACCTGCAGTCTTTATTATTGGAGGCTAATCTTATGCCATGCAGATTAAGTGATTGATTAAGCAGGCTCTTTTTCAGAAGTTCAGGTCCAAAAACAAGTTCAGTCTTGTTAGAATTTAAAAGGAGAAAGTTTAGTGTCATCCAGACTTTAATACCCTCAAAGAGATGCCTTTAATCTACCCAGTGGATTGAATTCATCAGCTTTTATGAATAGACATAGCTGAATCCAAACACGATTGATGATTTCGTAACTAAACTTCACAGCAGACTAACAATCTGGAAATCATTTTTTTGTAAACAAAAAAAGAGAAAGCTTGGAACAAAAACTTAAAGCTTAGTAATAAGTTTATTTTCACAGAATCAGTTGTTTGTATTAAGCTCACGAAAGTGATGACAGTCCATTGCTGTATGTCTATTCTCATTTTAGTCAGGAGATCTTCATAATTGCACTTAGCTGTATTGGTTACATCTTTGGGGATTAGAACACCAAGGTATTGCAGTGTGGTTTTGTCCAAACCACACTGCACAATGGACTGCAGGACTGCACAACAGATATTGAAAATGTTCTTGTTGAATAGTTAACTTTGTGCAATCTTGCCACAGTTCATGTTGTTGTTGATACAGTGTGCCTAAATACATCAACTGTGTGTGGCTGACCTTAGAAGAAATGGTGTTAACAATGACATTTATTTCACTAACTGTGGATATCCTGTCTGCTATGGTGACAATGGAAATGACACTAAATAGTTTTTTTGTGAGCCTAAGTTTTGGGCCGCATAGACATGGCATCAGCATTGGAATGTTCTTTACCTTTTTTGGTCACGCCTGAATAATGCATAATTAAATGTTACAATATTTTGCCTTCAGATCCCTTTGAAGGAGACCCATTTAAAGAAGCAGATCCATTCAAGGCTTCATCAGAAGATTTTTTTAAGAAGACTACAAAGATGGATCATTTTTCCACAACAGATCCTTTTTGTAAAAGTGCCACTTTACCCTCCAAGGTATTTGGAATGTTAGAAGTACTACACAGAAAACCATGACTTGTGTTAAAAGTACTTCCTTAACGACTTAGTTTTTTTTTTGTCTGCAGCAAACAAGTCACTTTGCAGGAAGTGACCCATTTTCTACCAACCACCAGAAACCCAGAGGATCAGGTACAATTAATCATTAAATTTTATCTTTGCACCTGTAAATATTGTGTACACTAGTTTTTTCTTTCTCCGTCAGATTAGAGTATTGCTCTAGATTTTGGATGATGACTGCTCTGAGTGTTCCATTAAGACATACTGTCTTGGTTTTATCCAAACGTTCATTGTGGTGTTAAAGCAAAACTTGCCACCAAGCATGGCAAACCTGACACTCCTTGTTCATCTTTCCACTTAATGCAGATTAATGTAATATTACGTATTGCATTTCGTAATATTGATGTGTTTTTTAGATTGT